GGGGGGGGGAATTGGAAGTTACATTTTTCAGGCCCCCCCCTCAAAACAATGGTTAAGGGGGTGGGGATGATATTAAAGATTAAAAAAGGTATGGATTCTTCCAAGCAGTTCATCTGGCACTCTCTTGACCAGCCTTTAGTTATTGGGTAGAGAATGAAGGGAGCAAGAAAACTCTATGCATGCGCACGACTCTTCCCTCATTCAAGCTTCCAGCTACAGCACAGCACACCGACGCTTGGGAGTTGACACAGTTGGAAAGCAGTTGACCCAACCTTCCAAAAGAGCACAGCTTCCGGTCCTACAACCACCTTGCGTTGGATCTCGGACAAGCTCTGCTCCATATCTGCGAACTTCTGGAACAAGTCCTGAGCGAGGCTAACAGATTGGCCTGCAGCATCCGTTCTTTTGAAAAGCCATTTAGCTTGCAAAGGGAACTGTCTATGGTCACTAATTGCTTGTTCAAAACATGAAGCTTTCAAGTTGCATCAGTTTGGATCGTATGGATCCTCCCCAAAATTGCCAACCAATTTCTACTCGTCTTCACACCCGGAAGACGAGCCGCCCCGGGCTCCGCCCGGCTTCGTCCGATTGATTCCCGTCCGGTCCACCGGGCGCCCGTGCCCGGACGGTCTGCTTTCGGCCGCAGAGTTCTTGGATCATGTGACCTGGGGCGCGTCTCCCAGCGCGTTTGGGTCTCCCAGCGGAGCCGCTCCGGTGAAGAAGGTAGCGATGCCCTTGTTACTACTAGCTTCTTGCTACTAGTAGCGATGGTGTTGTTCCTAGTAGCGATGCACTTGCTACTAGTAGCTTCTTGCTACCAGTAGCAGTGCCAGGAGCTACTAGTAGCGTCCTTGCTCCGAGTAGCGATGCCCTTATTATTACTCCCCGGAGAAGATGGACATCGAGAGGGTGTTGTATAACCTAGACGTGAAATCTATTTCATCGCTCCGGCTCAGATTCATTCTTTACTGTGAAAATCCTCGTTACATACTGTCTCTGATTTGGATCCTTTTGGGCGGTGGACCTCGTGCGTCCCTTTTGGCTCGTGCTCGGCATTGGCGGGTCCCTCAGCTCACCAAACCTGCTCGCCAAACCCGCTCGACATCATCCACCGAGGGACCATCAGGGTCCAATTCATCGATCTCGACGGGTCGCTGAAAGCCCGCCGCCAAGGCAGGGTTCTTGGCCCCACGTTTCGCTCCTTCCTGGAAGCGAGACTATGTATACGAACTGTGAACAAAAGAGTTAGAGTAATATGTCTGCTACCGACTTGTCTGCAGGCCTTACAAGGATTCCATAGAGCTTTGGCAAAGCCTCAGAAACACCTCACGTTTCCTGCACAAAAACTCGACCCGCTCATTTCAACAGCCCATCGGGTCCTTTGCTCGATTCAGGATGCCGTGTCCAACGAATCTCACCAATTTGTAGGTGTTCGCCAGCGACAAGGTCTTGATCTTTCGAGCAGACCTGGATATGAACCCCCAGCAACGCCAAAGGTGAAACAAATCGAAGCTCCCACAATGGAAGTGAGAAGGATCGAAAATCGCAGTTCTGAGCTTCGATCCAATGTAGGCCCAAAAACGGCAAAAACAGTTGTATAGATCGTGTTTTTTAAACTCAACTGTGGCTGGACAAGTACTCGTTTGTGACCGAGGTACCTTAGAGATCGTTTGGTTGGGGTTGTTAGGGGCGTGTTGATCATCAGCTGTACAAAGTAAAAAATATCACTATAAAATTCCATTTATCATTCAATAACCGTCAATGATCAGTCCATACACAAAAACTCGAAAATAATATATGCATCTGTACATACATATACAAAACAAACAGTGCAAACAATGAGAAACTGTGCAATCAAGAACTACCTGTCCAAGCGTGCAAGGTAAATAGGTTGCCTGCCACTGATGGGGCATGTTATGTTTGATTCTGCCGAAGCCAGTCCGCTTTAGACAGCTGGTTCCCTCTGATGCACCGCGGGGGCGACCAGGACGGCCCAAGCGCTGCGACAAGAACCAAGCGGCATGGTGAAATGAAACATACGCCTCTCCAATGCTTCGTTGATGATCGGAATCACCTCCACCTGACCAGAAAAGAGCACGCAGCGGAAACCCAGAAACGATGGCTTGTCAGCCCACCACCTCATCCCTCCCATCTCTCTCCCCCTCCCTCCCATCAACGCTCTCCATGCCTGGTGCGAGGGACTCTCCAACTCCACCTCCAGGATCGAGGCTAAGGTCTGCACCGGCGGCGCCTTCGCGAACTCCGGCAGACCGAAGACACCGCCGCAGAGGTCGATCTGCATGATGGAGCAAGGCCCTTCCTGGATGAAGGACAAAGCAGCAAAGGAAACATGCCCAGGCCACGACGTGGCCCTTTGTGAAGGGCTTAGATCGGGGGGATGAGGTGGTCGTGTCTTTCGGGCCGCAACGTGACAGAGTGACCTGTTTGGCTTGCCCCAGTTCACTTTGAACGCCCTCCGCGGTCGTTTACACGGCCAACCTTCGTATGCGAACTCGCCGGAACGAACCGTCCCCTTCCGCTGGGCTCCTTGTCCACCAAAATCAAATCTTTCACCTGGTCGCATCGAAGGGTTCAGAGAAGAGTCCACAAGCACCCGGACGTTTAAAGGTTACTTGATTTACGCACCTTTTCCTGTTTGACAAAAGGGCTGCAGTACAATCACATATGTATTCAGTGATGTCCATTATGCAGAACTGCTCTGATTTACCTGGAAAATGGTTCGCACTCCTTCTTGGCGATGTGAGACTCTAAAATGCTTGTTTGAGCTCACTTTGCCACAGTAGTCCATTTTCTTTCCATCCAATTCTTGTTTCTCTTTCTCTTCTGAATTTACTCATTTCTCTCAGGAACCGGGTTCCTAGAGCTTGCTGCTGCTGGATCAACATGTGGGTTGTCCCTTCTAGATTCTGCTATCTCAAATAATTCTCCATACTCCTTGTGATCTTCCTCAGTTCTTTCTGCAGCATCTTGATTTCCAACTCCTAGTAGGTTACCCCACATGTGTACTGCCTGCGTTCTCATATATTCCGATCTCATTGATACTTTTCTGTTTCCCACTGACAATGATCTGTTCAATGGTCCTCCTGATGGGTTTGCTCCTTCATTGGCTGCATCTAGCATCACTCTGCGTCCTTCGTACCATCCTTCTGTAGCTTGCATAGCTTCCAACTTCCTCCTGCCTAAGAAGTTTCCCACGTTGGTCTCAGTCAGTATGTCATAGCTACGAATGGCTTGCGTTTTTGGTGTTTCCCCTACTTAAAGCCTCCAAGGAGAATCAATCCACTGTGAATTCTTCTGGCATAGTCCTTGAGTAGATCTACTTCCTCCGGATCACATTCACACTCTTTGATGATCATACTCGCAACTTCTGCTATTTGACTTTCTGCCCCGCCTACCCTCGGTTGGGTGTATTCCCACGATTCCCAATAGCGGTTCTCAACATGATAGTATAGTTCATCAGAGGATCTTCCCACTCCATTGACCTCTTCGGTTCTCCCTAAATGTATTTTGGATACCTCTTCATAGAAGTTTGTTATAAAGCGGGTTGTATGAGCAAAGTCTGCATGTCAATGTAGTGCTTCAAAGTGTTTGTAGATTCGGAAGCTCGCGAAGATCACTGGTGCAAAACCGATAATGTTGAACACAATGATTATAACAATGCAAATGGCCCATTCTTCATTGGATTTCTTCACTGCGATCGTCTCACATTGGACGTCGTCTCCTTTCAGGAATGCCTCTGTAGCCGCTGGCTGCAAGCCCTCAAAAGCAACCATGCTAACAATCATTTTGGCAATCTTAGCGACCCTTCCTGCAAAATGCTTCTGCTCTTCAAACACCCTTCTCTCATACTCCCCTACTCTGCTTTGATCTTCACTGCGCCAATAGCCAATGAGGTTCATCGAGTATCTGATTCTCTTTGCTCCAAGTGGCTTTGGGTTGAGGTCTGCCATGTTGCTACTGCTGGCGCTTGTACCATTTTCAAGTCTTTCCTGTTCTGAACCCATAGCAACTTTCCATCTAAGCGTCTCGCCTTTCCAACTCCTCTCTTTGTCACAAGTTGGCGTGCACTTGATGAATCTGTGAAGATGTAGCGGTCCACCTTTGTCCCATGAGCAGATTCCAGCACTTCTCTGATATAGATTCCATCTGACGCTGAGGAAACTATTGCAGGTAGTTCTGCTTCACACGAAGATAAGCTAATGATCTTTTGCGTTCTGCTGCTGTTGAACAATGGACAACGAATGTAACTGCCCAATGCATGGAATCCTTCTGATGTTGACTTTCTGTGACTTTTGTTGTATATCTGAAAATGTCTCCAAGCATCAAAAACCTTCTCCTTTCTTGACATAACCTTCTCCTGCTGGTGGAAATTCAAGTACTAGACAATAGTCCATAGTCTTCTTCGCGTATCCCAAGAAATTCTTCGCGGGAAGAAAAGAGATAGGTGTAGGGGTTGACATTCTTGGGATCCATTCCTTCACTGCAAACGCTACATCATACCTCTCTTGGTATAGGCGGTAGATACCTGATCCAACAAAGCTTCTGCCAAGTCAAGGCTAATCTGCTCTGGTTCGCGCAAGACGTTTGACTTGTCTCAGTTGTCTGCTGGTAGTTGTTGAAGTTTGACCAACCCAATGTGCACTTCATAGGCTTCCCACATCTGCTGGGCGTAGTTGCCTGGTTGGGCCCAAAGCCCGTCAGGCGCTGGCTCATAGCTGAAGATTGCGATTGAAGGAATGACTGCATCATCATCAAAGAACTGCTCTAAGTTCCTCCTTTTTCATCATGCTTTCACAATATTCAGGAATTAGCCATCTACCTCCTCTTGTCCCAAAAGTGGTTCCTTTTCCAAATCTTCACGTACTTGCACTTCCAGGTAGTTCTCATCTTCATCTCGAATGACTCTAATGCGGCCTTGAACTGTCAAACAGCGATTTTGCAAGTTGAGTGGTAACTTGAAGTCACCATTCTCCAACATTTGCTCTCTACTATTGGTTCAACGACCATGTTCCATCAGCTTTCCATAACAAAGTATGGGCTGGCTCACCTTAGAACTGAAGATCACATTCTCTTTTGAGAAGAACTTCTCGTCCATCAAGGTCACGCAAGGAAATTTCAACGCTTCGCACCGCCTGCGATGATACGATTCCCTTGTGCGTCTTGTAGCTTGGTCTTTGTGCTGAATTGTAGTTCTCCTTCCCCGTGATCTGCCATACTCACAGGAAATAGCGCTACATCTGCTCCACTGTCAATAACGATGGCCACATCCTCATTCTCTTCCCCAAGTCTCCTCACCAGGGTTCATCATCTGAAATGTCAATCTCCTCAACTTCCTGGACCTCTGGCTCATCATCATCATCATCTCCAATGTAGAAGTGAATCTCTAGCCTATCTTGATCTTTCATAGCTCATTGTCTCTTTCTTTCAGGTCAAAGATGATTGGCTCACTGTTCTCAATTCTCCTGACCACTGGTTTGGTCTCTGCTGAGCTACTCTGTTGGCTCACATTCGCATGCTGTTGGCCAACTGTATTGTCACCGACGCTCCTCCTGAAGATGAATGGGTCTGATCACTTCCTACCTGTCGAATATTGTTCCTCCAACACTCTTTGGCAAGATGCCGTGGCTTTCCACAAGTGTAGCACGTTGCCACGCCGTGGCCTTTCGGCCTTTCTGGTCTTTGCCTTTACCTTTACCCTTATGATCACATTCTTTTCTTGTCTGATCTCCTTTTCCCTTCTTCCCCTTGCCCTTGGCATCCTTACCTTTGCCCTTCTGATGGTCATTCTTGCACTTCTTACCTTTTCCTTTAGCATCTTGGACTCGATCAACGTCCATTGGCATGGGTCCTTGGTAGTCTGTACTGCTACTAGCCACCATGGAAGTAGCCCACTTCCGTTGAAATCTAGCCCATTGCAACACATGCTCCCTCAAAGTTGCCTATTAAACATTGTCACCAATTGCCAAGTTCAAGTAGGATTTGAATTGTCCACCTACACATCTCAAAAAAATAGCAGATTTGAACTCTTGCTGAATTGTAGTTCCTGCCTTGACAGTCTCATCACATACTTCTTCAAGCTTCAAGAGTTGAGGTTGCAGCGCACTGTTCATTGAAAACGCTGGCCATGTAGTGGCTTCTCCCAAGAGTGCCAAGACTCTTGCCTTTGAAGTTGGCTTCAAAGCTTTATTCAAACTCCTCCAGGCATCAAATCCATCCGAGTCTTCCACAGCCTTCACCAATTGCAGTGCCCTTCCTCTCATCAGTCAAGCTTTTTCCATAGAGCTCGATGCACCTGGTCTTCTCTGAGTTAGTTGCCAAGTCCATGTCAAACTTCTCATTTGGCTTGTCACGAATTTCCTTCATATCCTTCATGTAGCCTTCATCAACTGCTCCATGACCACTCTGAATGCCTTCATCTCTTCATCTTGCGACTTGTAGTCAAAAATGTTAGGCTTTGCTATCAATTTTGACCCATCTGTTGTCGATGACTTCTTGTCCTCCACTGCTTTCTTCACTGCCTCAGCCGTTGATGTTGTTGCCAGCGTACTCTGTGCTACTGCTATTGTATGAAGGATTTCCGTCATCTCATCCATGGTACTAATGTCTCTTTGACACAATGTACTGGGTACAGAGTGTTGCTCACAACAATTCCTCACCAGTTCAGCTGCTAGGGGCCCCAAACCTATGGCTCACAATCGCACCGGGGTCCCAGTGACCTAGGGTCTTTTGTTCTCAGAGCTCCAGAGGGGTTACCTCCTTCTCAGCTCCGCTACCATACGCACTTTTCCTGTTTGACAAAAGGGCTGCAGTACAATCACATGTATGCTATGCACAACTGCTCTGATTTATCAGGAAATGGTTCGCAATATTACAGGTCCTAAAAAAAAAGATATATATATATATATATATATATATGGTCCCCCTTCCAATACACACCCAAAGTGTGGTCTTTACTGAAAATTACAATGTTTTAGTGATATTTTGCGCTCATTTTTTGAATGATCTGTTTAAGACCTTGTTCCACATGATTGTTTGGAACGCTTCCTCAAGGGTGGTACCATATATATATATATGGTAGGCCCCCCCCCAGAACTACATCTTTGTATGTTTCATTGTAATTTACAATGATTTAGTCACATTTTGGGACCTGTGTGCAAATAACTGTTTTAAACACTGTCCACGTAGGGGGTACCAAATATATGTATATATATATATAGATCCAAAGAATCTAAAAGGTCCAGAAGACCCAAAACTAGTAGGACTATTTAGACCTCCTCCATGGTGTGTGCAGTTTTTGAATTTTTTTGGATAACTCGCAGAAATCTAAAAATCAAAAACAAAACTATCAGGCCTATTGAGACCTCCTCCATGGTGTGTTCAGTTTTGGGTTTTTGCGATTTCCATTGAATTCTATTATATCCACTAGTGTCCCAGAAGCCGTTCTCGACAATCTGTGCCATCTGTTCGCATTCCTTAATCTTTGTGGCAACGCCGTTTGCGCCTTGCCCTTATCCTGCGGCTAAGCCGAATCACCACATGGGAGAATCATAAGCTTAGCAGCTTCGCACGTGTATTCATCTTTGCAGTGAGCAGAAGTTATAAGGCATGTGCATGAGCCACTCATCCACGCAAGACCATTCGTAGTCCTGTCTATGTCTCGCCACGTATATTTTTAAAATTGACAAAGGACAAAGTTCTTTTTTGAAAGAAAATAAAGGAAATAATCACCTTTAAGGTAAATAAAGGAAATAGATCAGCTTTTAAGGTACACCAAGTAGAAGGAAATAATCATGTTTTAAGACAAAATACAAGGCAATAAATGTTCCAATTATACCAGCGTAGACCCCAAACAGTTTGTGCGTTTATTAAGTTAACCACAGAGACGAACTGTCAAACCGTCAACGGCTCAAACCGTTCCAGCTCGCGGTGATCAACTCGGACCTTCTGGGCTTGTTTCAGCACTTGGAGGGTCACAACCGACAATTCAGACGAAAATAGAACGCAAATCTACTGAATATGCTGAGTTGTACTGACATGTGGCTTTATCATGATTGTTTGGCTAAAAGATGTTAAAAGCTTTCAACCAAAATGTGAGACAAGCAGGGACACAAGAAGGGAGACAAGTGAAGGAGCGAGGGAGACAAGTGTAGCAAGAAGGGAGACGAGCAGGGAGACAAGTGGGACAGCGTAAAGCCACTTGGCCAAGAGTGTCTAAGCAGGGAGCAGGCGAAGAGGCAAGCGGAGACAAGTGTAAAAGCGTATCCAGAGCAGGCCGAGACAAGTGGAGACAAGTGAAGCAAGAAGGGAGACAAGCAGGGAGAGAAGTGTAGACTCGTCCAACCGAGAGCATAGAAGCAAGAAGACAAGCAACCGGCCAAGTGTAATCCAAAGTAGGCCGAAAAAGTGGGAGACCGGTGGAGACAGGTGTAAAAACAAACATCCGGCCAAGTGTATCCAGAGTAGGCAGAGGAAACATCTCACGCGTCCCAGAGGACCCAGAGGGAGACAAGCGCAAAAGCATGCAGCCAGAGCAACCAGAGTGTATTGGAGACAAGGAGAGACAAGTGGGAGACAAGTGCAAAAGCATGCGGCCAGAGCACCCAGAGTGTATTGGAGACAGGGAGAGACAAGGGGGAGGCAAGCCAGAGTACGGGAGACAAGGGAGACAAGTGGGAGACAAGTGTACAATCACGCGGCCAGAGCAGCAGAGTGTACTGGAGACAGGAAGACGAGGGAGACAAGTGACAAGCGGGAGACAAGTGTAAAATCATGCTGAAATCATGCGGCCAGAGCACTGAGAGCATCGAGAGCTTACTGGGAGACAACTGGGAGACAAGTGGGAGATAAATGGGAGACAGAGCTTACTGGGAGACAAGTGGGAGACAAGTGGGAGACAAGGGTGAAATCACGCGGCCAGGAACACAAGCCCGGAGACAAACTCAAAATCATCCGGCCCGAGCATGCACCCCATTAAAAGGAGCAAGAACCCCTCACAGGTAAACCTGTTTGGGGAATAAAAAATGAGTTGATCATGTTCAGAAGGAAAATGGGTGACCGGACCCATTGGCTTCCTTTCTTTCAAATTTTTATCGTGCACTGCACTAGTTTTGCTATTGTTTCTATTGTTGAAAATACTGTTTGTGTCATAACCTCACCTAATATTTATGTTAACTTAAGAAATAGTTTAGCAAAAGAACTACTGAAAGAAATGTCTTACCCTTAAGTTACATGACAAAACTATTATGACAAATTTGTTATAGTATATGTTTCTAGGATTATTTCTAGTAATGATGCTCTCTGGAAATGTACTTGTAAAATATCTATATTGAAACAGTTCTTTAAAAACAGTAGGAATATGAAAATGAATGTTAAGTGCGATGTCTTATTCAAAAGACTTCAAAGGAATGGCAGAGGAGTAGTTAAGGGTCGTATGGATGAAGTCAGGACTATATCAACTACAGTTAAGTTTGTATGTAATGAGGAAGGACTAGACCAAGTTATAGAAGATACAATGACAGAAATATTCTTAAAAATTGAAGACCTAGAAGCATCATCATCTAATTTAGTATTTGAGAAGGTTGTACCAATACCAATTCATTATGACAAGTATGACCCAACCAGAGCAGGTACTTATACAGATTTACCATTATTCATGAAACTCAAGAAAGCCTGTGGTAATATTAGTAAGAACACTGGCATTAGATGTTTTAAATAATGCATTCATACATTTCCCCGTTTTGAATTTGACATGAGGTGACCATTCATCTCAACCAGAGCGGTGAGGCATCGTCGTGGCCGCCGTTTGGCAAGCGCTGAACCTAACACCTCTCCGGAGAGCCAAGGACTGAACAGGCCCTATCAGGGTTCACACAGGTATGCACCTCACAAACAGTCATGCTCGATGTTCTTCAAGGCTGTCCTCCTCCCAATCCATGCCTTCACACTCGTCATCCTCCTCCTCAACCATTTGCTCAGGATCGCTCCTCCGAAGGTATGAAACTTTCCGCGTCACAATCCAGTTCAACAGCTTCCAGCACTCACAGCACCAGAATTGGAACGCTTCCGGCCCTTGCAACAGCTCACTTTCCAGCCCCGCCAGAGCAATCTTTTCTGCCTCGTCCTTGCTCCTGCGAATCTTCAAGCGGAGCATTGCTTTCAGCTCCTTCATCGATCTCAAGAGCAGAGCATTGTATGCATCTGCAGTGGTCTGCGCGCTAGATGCGCATTGCCATGTGGTAGGTAAGCCATGCAGGATGTTCAAAAACCGGCGTGCTCCAGGTCCGGTTTCGCTGTATTGCAAATCCGTTGGTATTGGTTTCCTTCAAAATCGAACCAGCACCCGCCACTGGTTCTTCGCTAAGAACGGGCCGTTTCCCCTGATAGTTTTCATCTCCAGCATGACCTGTCTCTTGGACTTCCATTGGTTCTCCATCTCCTCCCGCCGGTCTTCTTCCGCTGCGTGATCTCGCGCCGAATGGCACGCTGCAGCCACCACACGCGAGCATGGGCCAAGCAACCAATATCCCTCGAGTTTTATCTTGAGCAGGCTGCTCCGCTGCTTGTTGGAGGCTCACGTACCCATTACTCGTAGGATTTAGCGACCAGCTATCCACCGGAAACCTCCTTAAGAATCAGCGAGCCACCATGCCAAAGCATTGATTGGGCAAACGCCCTGAAACCCCGCTTTTTCCAGGCTTTGCCCCTTCAAAGGGGTAAGACCATTTAGACAACACGCACTCAGACTCGAAATGCTCACTTTTCCGCAATCCCCGATCCCTGGATAACTGGCTGCCAAGCGGCCATAATTGAGAGTCTCCGCCATTCGCCCCAGTGTGCGACGTGCCTTCGCTGCTCGGCCTCCTGGAGGAAGTAATTTCAGAAGTAACTGAGCCGCAGCACCATAGCCGTGCGCCTGGTCTGCAGCCTCTTTGGTCCTTTTCCTTGCCTCGGCTGTTGCTGCACTGGGATAACAGCACAGCCACAACAACGACAACGACACCAACAACACCAACAACACCAACAACAACAACAACAACAACAACAACAAGAACAACAACAACAACAACCAACAACAACAACAACAACAACAACAACAACAGCAACAACAACAACAAACAGCAACAAACAGCAACAAACAGCAACAAACAACAACAAACAACAACAAACAACAACCAACAACAACGAACAACAAACAACAAACAACAACAAACAACAAACAACAAACAGCAAACAACAAACAACAAACAACAACCAACAACAACAACAACAACAACAACAACAACAACAAGAACAACACCAACACCAACACCAACAACAACAACAACAACAACCAACAACCAACAACAACAACAACACCACCACAACCACCACCACCACCACCAACAACAACAACAACAACACCAAGAAAACAACAACGCGTCGACACATGTAAGCACTGCAACAATCTTCCACGTGGGCCAACACCCTCGCCAAGGCACTGCATTGTCCTCTGCTTCCGTATACTTCCGAAGATCCCCCAGGCCACGCGCAACAATGCCCTCCTTGAACAACTGAAACGAATGCTGTGATCCAATTGCATCTGCTCGCAGCGCCATCCCCTGGGCCAAGGGAATCGCTCGCTGGAAGCGACCCAGGCCCCCGCTGGCGTGTCCATGGAAACTCTCAGGATCCTAAACTATCACAGCTGATCCCCAATTCTCTGCCAGGCAGATACCATCTAGCCAACACTGTTGTGAATGTTCCGCGCCTTCTCAAATAGTCTGAGCGTCGCCACGCTCTGCAGAAGGTCCAGCACATCCGCACGGGACACAAAGTCTGCCTGTCGCTTCAGATCCACACGGAATCCAAACCTCTCCACCGTGCTCTGACCCAACAGATGTTTCCTGACACTCATCTCATCATCCGCTGCAACTCGAATGACAACACTCTTGTCTTTGGGCGTTGTCTATGGGAGTGTGCCCAGAACGGGTCGAAATCATTCCAAATGTGTGGTGTTGTGCAAATTTTGTCGACGCTCACACGAGATGATATTGCCACTTTTCGTGGCAGGCGCAGTACTTTGTGGCTTTTGAGGTGTGCAAGTGCGATTTTCGTGGCAGGCGCAGGGAATCCTGAGATTGCGAGGTGTGACGGAGGTGACATTTCGTGGCAGGCGCAGTACTTTGCGCGCGTTAGACGTGTGGACGCGGAAAGATTCGTGGCAGGCGCAGGGAATCGTGAGGTTGCGAGTTGTGGTAGAGGTGGATGTCGCTGTCACATTGGGATTAGCGCGCGAGCGGGTGTGGTTTGGAGGGGCTGGAATCGCGAAACTGCTTGGCAGGGCTGCTGAGTGTCCCACAAGAGTGTCCCGCAACGGTGTCCCACAAGAGTGTCTCACAAGAGTGTCCCTTAAGAGTGTCCTACAAGAGTATCCCACAAGAGTTTCCTACAAGAGTGTTCCACAAGAGTGTCCCACAAGAGTGTCCCACAAGAGTGTCCTACAAGAGCGTCTCACAAGAAAGTCCTACAAGAGTGTCCCACAAGAGTTTCCTACAGGAGTGTCCCACAAGAGTGTCCCAGAAGAGTTTCCTACAAGAGTGTCCCACAAGAGTGTCCCACAAGTGTGTCCCGCAAGAGTGTCCTACAAGAGTGTCCTACAAGAGTGTCCCGCAAGAGTGTCCCACAAGAGTGTCTCACAAGAGTGTCCCACAAGAGTGTGCGACAGGAGTGTCCCATAAGAGTGACCCACAAGAGTGTCCTATAGGAGTGTCCCACATCCTACAAGAGTGTCCCGTAAGAGTGTCCCACAAGAGTGTCCAGTAAGAGTGTTCCGCAAGAGTTTCCTACAAGAGTGACCCGCAAGAGTGTCCTACAAGAGTGTCCTACAAGAGTGTCCCACAAGAGTGTCTCACAAGAGTGTCCTATTATAAGAGTGTCCCACACGAGTGTCCTACAAGAGTGTCCCACAAGAGTTTCCTACAAGAGTGTCACACAAGAGTGTCCCACAAGAGAGAGAGAGAGAGAAAGGACCCTACACAGACCCAAGTGGGCCGGCGCCCGGCTGTCAGGTGTAAGCCTCATATTCCGGGCGCCGGCCACGCGCCCGTGTCCTTGCCGGAGGCCTTCGGTTGGTAACCGAAGGTTATATACGCTCGCCGCCCCTGCCGCCGACCCTTTTGCTGGACCGCGGTGAGAATCCGGTCGACCCCCGCCCAACCCCCGGTGGACCCCCGGTCGAATCCGGTCGACAGATTTATATGTAACTTACAGTGCTTCGTGTGTGTGTGAGGTATAAAAAGCACTGTGCTTTACAGGGTTTTGGGCCCCTCGGCGGCCTAGAATTTCATCTTGGCGATGTTAAAAAACGTCGGGTTTTCCATGGCTTTTGCTTTGCGGGACGGAAAAAATCGTAAAAAGTTGTATCGGAATATTTGTTCCACATAAAATGCCTAACATATCCCCAACATAGGCCCAAGATAGCCAACATATGCCCAACATAGCCTCCAAGATGGCTCAACATAGGGCCAACATAGGTCAACATGGGGCCAACATACGCCAACATAGGCCCAACATAGGCCCAACCTAGGCCAACATAGGCCAACATAGGCCTAACATAGGCCAACCTAGGCCCAACATAGGCTCCACTTGGGCCCAAGATGTGCAGACCACATGGGCCCAACTTGGCCCAACCTAGGGCCAAGATGCGCACCAGATAGCTTAACTTTGCTCAATTTAGGCCCCACCAAGTCTCAAAGAGAGAGAGAGAGAGAGAGGGAGAGAGAGAGAGAGACAGAGAGAGATACCAAGACGGAGACAGAGACAGACAGAGAGAGGAGAGGGAGAGAGAGAGAGAGAGCGAGAGAGAGAGAGAGGACCCAGCCCTACACAGACCCAAGTGGGCCGGCGCCCGGCTGTCAGGCGTAAGCCCCATAAATAAAGTTGATTTACTTAAAATATAAAATAATAGCCAATATACAGTAATAAAAACATTATCATAAGCAAACTGTTGAACTGTCAGAGCAACAGCAATACAATGAAAATACCATATTGTCGTTATTGCTCTCATCCATCTTGAAGAAGGTTGCCATGCCACCGACGGACAACAAAGTAAATTACCAGCTAAAGGTATATAGTTATATAGAAATTGAAAAAACTATACCAAAGTACTCTTCTTTATTGTTATTTATGGTGATTTTGTATGTTTGGCTGCAAATACTTCTGATGGCATAAAGGGTTCATATCAAGAGCATGTAATTTGGAAACTCTATTTCTTGTTCTTCAGTAATATCAATTTTCGTGCTTACATTAATTGTTTTTTGATATTTCTGAATGTATTTCTTTTTGACTGTTCTACAAATATATTCATACAATCCTCACCTCTATAAAGATAATGGGTGGACGTGTGTTCAATCCGTTTTACAACATTCAACATATAACCACAGGGTTTACCAGATGCTCTATATGTAATATACTATTTGAGGAAGATGAGCGGGTACGGGACCATTGTCATTTCACAGGTAAGTATAGGGGCGCGGCACATGTAAAATGCAATCTTGATTATTCATTCATACCAGTATTCTTTCATAACCGTAGAAAACATGACGCACACTTAACAATAAATAAAGCCAGTAGTTTTGATTTTCTATTTGTTTGATTTCCTTGAGTTATCCAAAAAATGAAAAAATCTAAAAACTTTACACACCATGGAGGAGGTTTTGTCACAATGCTCCTGAAAAAGATGTCTGCTGCATAGGTGTACCAAACCTGCTTTTCATTCATCAATGCTACTTAAATCATGCCAGACAAGCATCTGCAAACCATCAAGCAACACAAGCATCTGCAACATCTGCAATCCATCACCATCATTCATGGTTGGTCCTCAACGCAAAAAGGTGTGTATTGGTAGGGGTTAGCATATATATATATGTACCAAAAACATATACTTATATACGTATTATATGTATAGATACACATTCATATAATGAATATCAGAAACCACCGTTTGGGCCAGGGAATTCTGCTAACACGGTTCTGGTTCCGCGCAGGACGGACAAGCTCGCATGTTGGCCCATGGTGTAATTCTTTCGTTGCGTCTTGGATGGTTTGCACTCGGGCAGAAGGTGGATAGATTCTTTTGCTGTTGCTATATCATCGGGTACTTTGTCGCATTGCGTTTGATATGAAGGGAAAGCACCTAGCGTTTGCTGGTCACTCCTTCTGTTCATTGCTGTACTTCTGCCTTTCTTTCTATTGACTTTGGCGTTCACACAACCAGGTGCATAGGGCTCACACTGCCCACGTGCCCACGTGCCCTGCCGACCCACCTGAGGAGTCGTGGATCCAAATAGCCCACGATACTTCTCTGTCTTGGCCACCTCATCCTCCACGCCTCGTGGAACCCGGGAAGGAACCGGCCTCCGGTTCGGAAGGGAGGGAGAAAGACCCGCAGACATCGCTTTTCTTTGGCATGGTGACCCCCCCCATCCGTCATTGAAGCAAAACCGCAGCCACTGCACTCATGGCAGTGGCTGATCATTCAGGCGCTGACTCACATCTTGCGCAATATAAAACAAAGCTCACAATGAAGAGGAGGTCACCCATCCTTCTGGATCAAAAACCTTGCCACTTTTTCCAGTGCGGGCCTCATCCTCAGCCACCTCTTTCCCAAAAACAACACCTCCTCTTTCCCCGACCTTTTCGGAGACGAGGCACATTCTTTGGAGTCGAACTTCATCACGGAGGCCGGCATCGGGGTCCCGTCCGCCCGATAGGGGGTGAAAAAAAAGACCGATGCGCCGCTAAAGCTCAAACTCACCTGTCAGGAGCAGCGATCTGGAGCAGCCGATGTCGAGTCCGATGAGGTCGCATCCCACGCTTTCTTGACGGTGGATGCGTCAACAAAAAGGGTGGATTCCCCCGGATCTGGAGATGTCAAACCATTCTGGTAGTGGGGTTGTGTCCAACAACGGTCAACATTTATAAGTTATAAGACTTCCACGTGTTGATGGCGACAAGGGCCCCGAAGTGGAACGATGCTGTCCAATCAGGTTTGAAACCCCAGCCAACGGTTGCGGCCTAAATCAAAGAAGCATGATGGATGATCACTTATGCCCGGGCTTGTAGCTGTTTCCTTATGGTGAAGCCAAAGATACAGTACACAAATGAGCATCCATGTTCATGTACATGAACATTCTTTTCTGGTGGCCAAAGGGATAAAGCAAAAATTCCTAGGGATTCGTTTTCCATGACCACAAGACTACTTTCCTCCAGGGATCTTGTTTCCGACCCACACGTTTGACTTACCACTTCGTTTTCAGCCCAAACTCACGCCCCTTTTCGGGCTTTGAATCCTGCCCAGTCACGCGCTTCAACTTCATGGTGTTGTACTTTGCCGGCTCCTTCAATGCCAGCATGCTGCTCTTCTGATCCTCGGACAGCAATTCGACGTCACCCAGGATCTCCTTCTTGGCATCTTCAGAAGCTTGTGGACCGGTTTCCACACTCTCATCTTCAATGAAGTAGCCTCGTGAGGATTCGTCAACTGGGGCCACGGATGGCCACGGTCTCTTGAAGGCAACGAAATGCTTAGGACAACGCTTAGGTTGCTCACGTGTGGTTGCTGAAACCCCTGGGGTTGCTGACGGACATTGCTAGCATGTTTCGATAGATGTGTTTTTTTTGTGTTTCAGCCCATTTCCGGGCTTCCAATTCTGGCGGCGTAAGGCATACTTCGGGAATTTTGTTAGCCTTCGCTGCGCTTGGCAGCATTTGATCGATGTTCTTCATATATGCTGCGTGCATGTATTTGCTCACATTCCGGACCTGGACTCTAATGCCTCCAGTCTCACATACTAATGACTTTAAATTGAAGTCTTGTGCTTGGTTCGCTCCTTGTTCAGCAGCAAAAAGCAGCTCCTTCTGTGTCACGATGGTCTCCATGGCACTTCTCACAAAGGACACTCCTCGGGTGCGTTTTGCACAGCAAAGTCGTTCCTCCCCTGTATAGCTGCTGGCGCCACACTTTGAGCCAAATTGCTACCATCGGCAGCACCGTGGGCAACCTACAAACTTTGGCTGACCCCATTCAAACCTTGACAGAACCCTCTACCAGGTTTTGGTGTGTGTGTGTGTGTGTTTTTCACCCCGTATAGCCCCGACTCGTTTATATACGCCCCATGTCACAAAAAGAAAGAGAGCGCAGAGCTAGAGATGGACAGGCGTGTAAAACACATGGGTCTGATCAAAACGCTTGCCAAATCCGCTCGATACGACAAAAGCTCAAAAGAACGGAAGAACCGTGGCATCCGCGGATTTTCAGCCATGAAAAGGCATTGACTCGTTCGGCCGTCTTGGGTTGAAAACAGCATTGGGAAAAAGCTGTATGCAATGCAATGCAGCACAACGGAACTGCAGGTTCACAATGGGTTTTCCATCCCACATGGCCACACAGGTACCAAAGAATGCTCTTGCTCCCCAAAGTTCAAAACAACCGACCCACACACGGCTGCAGCCGATCAGAAAAAGAGGAAACAATAAGAGTGTCCCCGGCTATAAGATTTCTGGATGTCACTTTCGAGAAAGCCTGCGACGAATTTGTTTGTTCGACATGTCAATGTCAATGTCATCCAGGGTGGTCTCCCGGCACCAAGGTGGTCAAATGCTTCCTCTTTAAGTTGGACGATGCAGCAATGGCCCTCTCGTTCGAGCATCTATTCTTCTCTCAGCCAATCATGAATTAGCCTCCTTTTCGTAAATGAGAGAAAGTCCACACTTTTATATAACTCGCCACACCTGTCTGTGGGCCCCTCAACTCGGGGCCGCCTGCGCCGCGGCCGCAGGAGAATAAAAACAGTAAGCTGGCTGGCCGCCCATCAATGAACAGTTTCGCCCGTCAAGATCAAGTTCCAAAGCCTCTCCTTCGTGGGTATCTCCCAGTGAACCCAAAACCACTTGGTCGCCAGAGAAAGAATGAACCCAAACCTGGTTCCTCCCAAAAGATGGGGTCATGGGCGGCCAAGGCCTGTATATTTGGGTCTCGTGCAATAAAGACCCGAAGTGTCGCTGCCAGTTGTTGGCTGCACATCCACATTCTGAGAGTTTGCGGTTTCCCAAGCCAAATCGGCTGAGTTCATCCCCCCACCTTCGCTGGATGCTCTCAGACCCGGCCCAGCGGCCCAGCCGGGGAAACAAGTCGCCAACTCTCATGGGCTCTGCAAAGCGCGCCGTGTGGCACGCTCAAGAGGACCCTCAAAGGTGTTTCTACCACAAACGCCAATAGGGGCCATGAAGACCAGGTGCGAATCCGAACATCTGCGGATGAGTGAAACAGTTTCGCCGTTTGGACATTTGAGCTTTCGAGGATCCATCCTGCTTCCTCCAAGCCTGCTCTAAACATGCAGCAAGAAAGGAAGTCTAATCTACACTGGAAGAATCCGATCTGAGAACTAAAACTAGCGTCTAGGCAAAGAAGCCCACAGCCCCTGTTGGGCAACAGCCTCTTGGGCAGTCAGTTGTGGCAAAAGCTGTGTCCAAAAAAAGGCACCTGGTGTTGGAGTATCTGCAGTGCAGCTCACTGTTAAAAAGATTACAAAACCCTGGTTAAAGCTACAAGTGCTCGCACTGTGCCACATTCTTCGGGTGGGCTTTGTGCCAAGTTCGTGCTCTGTTCAAAATTTGTGGCATTCTCCTTTCAGAATGGTCTGCTTCTCCGGGAGCTTTCAGAGTCAGAAGTGCTGTCTGCTGTCAAGCAGCAAATCGGGAGCTACTCTCGGAGAAGTCAATTTCATCGATTAGAGCAACATCTTAGTTGCTCGAATTGGGGAACCTGCGAAATCGCTGTAGTTCGCCGGGATCTCCCTCATGCCAGCGACTACGCAAAACGCGGCGGGTCTGTTGTTTCTGGGCTCCGCCAAGTCTGCTGGGCCAATGGCAAAGCACTTGGCCTGACCATCCAGCCCACCGGTCTGCGTGTTACAGCTGACCAGAAAGGCCTGTTTTGACGAACTTCCAATGCTTGGCTGCCGTCAGATGGAGCACAGCCTGGAACTCCAGACGTGAACCTAACTGCCGTAGCCGATCAAATCTGCACAAGATGGCCCAACGCAGCTCGGGGAGTTAGCACCGATGGCACTGATGGTCGTCAAGACCCCTGAATTGTAGCAAAGCTATTAAAACATGCTTTGCTTTTGAAAATCCATGATGCATAATGCTCCATTGAATTACCCACACTTCAAAACTAAACGAGTCCAAAATTTCACATGTTTCTGGCAGAAACCATGCGCCCAAACAACCTCTGCCAACTTCAATGGAAAAGTGGGGTCACGTTGAAACGTAATGATATCATACAGCGCAAGTCCGTCAACGGGTCACTGGAGCTAGCGCAGAAGCCTGTCATAGACTTCGTATCCTTGGCCATCACTGCGCCGACAACTGCACTGCACAAAGAGCAACGATGACAACCGTCATACCAATGGTAATGTAAAAGTATAACATAGAATAACAATACTGTACTGAACAATCAAGCCAGGTGATCCTTTCAACCAAATGCCCGAAGGATCCCGAAGGCATAGCCCTTGTTAGTTTCTTGTTGGAAGAGACCACAAAAGCACTGGATAAAGAGACCATTCTTGTGGGTTTGCACTCCGCACAGGCAAAAGCTCCAGCCGGTCTTGGAAAACTTGGAGAGCTGTCCCCATTGGGACCTTCAGGCTGCTGGTGTGCGTCTCAGCCCTTGTCTTCCCCCCTGCGGCTTTGAAGGAAGGAGATGAACTCCTTGAGCCGAGAGGACCAGATGATCTGTCTGAGAGGACCCCAGACTGCCAAGCTTCGCTGATTGAAGTTGGCCAGCACCTGAGCTCTGCCCTTTGAACCTGAGCCGGTGTCCCGGTGGGACACCCCAGTATCCAGTCGTTGAAAGCCATAAGGGGCACTCTTACGCGGACCATCCAACGAGTCGGACGTGAAGTTTCTCTCACCCGGTCCAAGTCGCTGTTCGCCGCAGGTGGACCCAGTGGAGGTAGGGTGGACCCAGTGGAGGTAAAGGATATGAAAAAAAGAAAATGTATGGGTTCCTTTTTCTCTAGACCTTCTATCTACCCCTTTTCCTTTTTTTGAGCTTTCTTTCTGCATCACAATGTTTGACTCCCACCTGACACAAAACCGTTCAAAGCCGGAGTGGAAACCCGCCTGGAGTGGAAAGCTTGCCATCTGGTGATTGGCCTGGGATGGGGAAACGGGTTCATCGGAACCGACCAACGCGCTGACCCATGAACCCATCCCCCATTTGGCTGTAATATAAGGCCCCAACGCATTGACCAAAGTGCCCAAAAATGGGTACCCTCAGCACCATGGCCAGTACTATGCAGTACGTCCAAAGTCTATGTCTTATATATACATATGACTCGTATTGTTCATCCTTCTATGCCTCTCTTTCCCAAAATCAGAGGCATGGGCTCAGGGTCGACCCCCAAGTCCCTCGGACCCCCCTTGCTTGGGGGCGGGGGGGCACGGTTCGGCTTCGCCCCGTTCACCGGGGCGCCGCACCGAACACCGGGGACTCGGAGCTGCACTGCTCCTGCGACCAGGGATGAGGTCAGAGGAACATCGCTGGAGGCATAGCGGTTCATGAGAGTAGGGTCTGTGTTTTGAACCCGTGCAGAACCAAGATTTGGTGCTTTCTCCGGGCGTACCAGACCCGACTGCGCATCGAAGCGGCTTTTGTTTGTTTACCTCCAAGGTGGTTCTTCGGCAGAACATATCAGGGGGAACAAAGGTTCACTTCTGCACACCAACAATATGACAATGTGCATCCCACACTGGACCAGTTTTGACATCTTTTGTTGGGGCATCCCAACAAACCCTCCATGTGGCAGCAGCCTTGACTCTCGACTCGGAAGAAAACACAATGACAATGGCAATCTGCCTGTAGAAAACAAGACCCCACAGCACCAGCTACCTCCTGACAAGGTGTTGGGGAGTCTAGCTCCTTCGGAGGTGACAGTTGGAGCTTAGAGATAGAAAGGAAACCTAGCCAAATCCTGAGACTTCTTCCATAGAAAGCTCGATTCCCCAGCCGCTCGATTGGTTCCCAAACGACCTCAGCTCTTGGTTCCCAGCGTTGGCAACCCAGCTACTGCCTCTTCCTCTGACCCTTTTGGACCAAAGCGCTGTGAAACACAGGCTCCTGTAGGCTCAGGTCCAAATCGAAAGCTCTGGCCTGCCAGATCCCGCGATCCCTCTAGGGGCAACCCCCGCATGGAGTGAGGGGGACACTGCCGGATCCAGGCGACGGTAGCGGCGTTTGTTGACATGGTTGTTTACATCCCTTGTTCAGCTGGGCGTTTTGGTCGCCTACGTTTCTGGTGTGTCACGTTTCTGACGTTTCTGGAAAGGATGGTGTTCCACCTCTGGACCGTTTTCCATGTCAGAGAAGGCTGCTCAATTGGACACCATCGCAGGTTTTACTAAGAAATTGGTAAAACAATCTTCTTCCAGGACCATTCTAAACAGTTTCCGGAGTGTTTGTCAAATGCCAACCCAACCAGTAATGATACTTGGTACTTCAAGAGTTGTGCCTGCAAGGCCCCAACTCACCCAGCTAGCTGTG